TGAAGGCGTGCGACGAGGCGAACACCATGTCGGAGCTGCCCTCGCTCTCGTCGTCGCCGAAGCGGACCGCGGCGCGGAAGGCCGCCACCAGCTGCTTGAGCGAGGCGCGGTGCGTCTTCCCGCCCGACACCGCCTCCACCCACCCCTCGACGCGAGGCACCGTGAGCTCGACCGCCGCCGTGCGCGGCTGCGGCTTGCGCGGCTGCGCGGCAGCCTCAGCGCCCTCCTCCTCCTCCTCCTCGTCGGTCCTCCTCCCCGCCCTCGTCCTCGTCCTCGTCCTCGTCCTCGTCCTCCTCCTCCTCGCCATCGTCCTCCTCCAGCTCCTCCGAATCCGCGTCCTCCTCCTCCTCCTCCGCCTCGCTCTCCTCCTCCTCCTCCTCCTCGTCCTCAAAGTTTAGCAGGCTCTTGTCCGTCTGCTGCAGGTACTTGAAGAAGGCCGGATCCGACTTCTCGAGCGCCTCGAGCTGCGACTTGTGCGACGACTTTTGCGACGACGAGCCTGCACCCTTGCTCCCCGCCTTGGCGCCACGCGCCGCCTTTGCAGCCGGCGGAGGCGGCGCGACCTCCGTCTCCTCCTCCTCGGCCGAGTCGTCGCCCATGTACTGCTCGAAGCCGCCGTCCAAGAAGGTGTCCGCGTCCATCTCCTCAGCGTCCTCTGCAGAGCGCAGCAGCACGTCGCCCGGCCCCGCAGCGTCGGCCTCCACCTTGCGGATGGAGCGGTGGAGGCGGTCCGCCTTGGACTTCTTGATCCGAGCGACCTGCTTCTGGTTCGAGATGGCCACGCCGAGGCGCTTCTTCTGCTGGAGCTTGGTGGGCATTGGGAGGGCTGAGTGCGGGCCAACAGAGAGCGGCCAACAAGCTCCGGGGGCGCTCCGGGGGGCGGCGACGTCTCCGCGTCAGGTGGTTTTTTTCGGTGTACCTCCTATCCCAAAAGTTATTTAGTACCACCCCCCTACCGCCGCCCAGTACGTGCTCCGCAGCTGAGCCCACGCACCCCACAGCAGCTCAGGGACACAATGAGCTCGCATACAAGTGCTGGTACGCACAGCTCGACGCGTACTCGAATGCTGCCACTGTCATTCTAGCTAGCCGGCGAGCGGCGGCGTCACAGCGTCGACTCTCGCATCGCGATGAGACGCACTGCTTGCCCAGACGCGCGCCTTGGCGCGCTCCTGTGGTGCAGGAGGAAGGCCAGCAGTCGTGCTGCGCAGGCCCGGCCGTCTGGCTGAAGGGAGCAGCAGCTGGCGCTCAACAGCAGCGCTGGCGAGCGGCGCAGCCACACCACACTCCCGCCAAGCCACGTGTCATTTCCCGCCAAGATTTGGCGCCAAAATGGCACTTTAGTGTCCACCTAGGCACGTGGTCGCGGCCTGAAGCTCCAAGCTTCTGGGACTGAGGTCCCACATCGCTGGACTCTTCCGAAAGTTACGTCCGTTTGGGTCT